AGCAGAGAGGTGTAGATGAGGCTAACAGACAGAGAGAGCAGTGTCTGAGGATGGTGAACACTTTAAGATAGAGGCTGTGGGAAATGACATACCTTTCATCCCTCTGACCAGTGTCGACTTGCGTCGTTCTCAGCCTGTCTATAAATGAAATACTGGTTGACCTCTCGTCACAAAAAGCTTACAGCATTAAAAGCGGCAGACGACAAAACTGCAGCGCACTTATAGTAAATGACGTAAACAGAACCGTTGCGGTGTATGCTAATATAGTTATTGTTATAGGTATCTTTCTATTTATTGTTCTTGGTGTGTTCTATGAGTGTGAATATGAATTGAACTGGCCACACCTTATAGGAAGTTGAATTGGAATGACAAAGTTAGGACAATAATTAACGAAGAAACAATAAAGGAAATTCATTAGACAGTAACACTAAGGTTTGCTCAAAAATGTTAACAAATTATGCTTTTTTATTATTATTGTTAAATGGAATACAGCCACAAATGATTTGGTTACACAGCATCACAAAATGTTCACAAATTTCCCGTTTTATAAGATAGATATTGACACAATTTTATTACATAATATACAAATTGTAAACATTTGAATTTTGGTTCCTTTTTTAGTTTACAAGGCATTCTCAATTCAATTCTGAATTCAGCTGCGAACTTCAAGACATTGTTTGCTTTGCTTTGTTTTTGTTTCATCACAGTGAAATTTCATTGGTCCAAAATCCCACTCCAAATAGCTGTATGTTAAGCAATACATATGTTATTTTGGGCTGTGGTTGTCACACCACACATTGACAGTTGTCCCAACTAGGTGCATTCTGGCCTTAACTAAAGGACTGTGATCTTGTCCGGATGAGGTAGGAAATAAATGGCTAATCCATACCTCTGAGCTCCTGGTTAACCTGCAGTGCAACAACATTCCCATCCCAGCATCCCTCCATCCACAGCATGAACCTCCTAAAACACTCTACACTACACTTTTTACACTCCCTCTTCTCAACCCCAAAAGTTCCTGTTAATTTTTATTGATTCAGCAGCATTTTCAGAATCTCATCCTCTCAAAATTGCAAGCTCTGTGTCCTCCTTTTTTTATCCTGATAAATATTATAAGGGAAATGGAAAAGTTGGCTGGGGAATCCTCATTGATCCCCTCCTGTAATCTCATTTAGTCCCCATCACTGTTTCCTCTCCTGGCAAGCCTGCGTTCTGTTCCCCACAGGCCACCTCCTCCACAGACCTGCTCTTACTGTCGTTGACATTAAAAGGGCCACATTATACACTTCTCTACGATTTGATTTCCCCCCAAAGTCCACTTAAGATGTTAGTCAAGCTTTCTTGCACCAAAAACACTACTAATTTAGTTCTACACAACAATTGTCCTGTATCTCTCTACAGTATTACAGCCGTTTGGTTTCCGCAACGGTCTGTGCACTGACCGTGTGATGTCATTTTTGTCACCGGGAGGGTCCGCGCGCACCGTCCACGTGCAGACCAATTTTTGTGACCGTATGCGGTGAATGTTGAGACAGAAAAGTCCACTTGGTGGCAATACGCACAGTGGTGTACTGTGCAGTAGTCGAAGAAGAGTTTGTCAAAGAATTTGTCAAAACAACATGCTTTTCCAAGAACAGTAAACAAAGCAGGATATTTGTCATCCATTGTTCAAGCTTCCACTGTTTTTGTTTTGGTTCTTGTTTTAAACTTTGCATGCAATGGTGGATATGTTTCTTTTCTTCTTCTATCTTTCAGAGCGAATGTCCTAGTGTAAATGATACGACTCAGTGCTGCACTCTGACGATTGGTAGAATATGAAAAAGCAATCGTACTGCACTTGTCGAACGCGTCCATCTGCGCTCATCTGCGGTTGAGCGAACTTTGAAAGCTGTGCAGACACGACTGTGAAGAAGGAGTGGAACGTGGAAATGAAAGAAACCCGGGCTTTTAGCGTTCAGTTTAAACAGACTGTTTTTGCTACTGTACCTTTTAAGGCTGGAATATAATACACGACTTTTACACAGATTTTTGCCCTGATTTGCAGTCTGGGTGTATTGGTGCTAGTTTCCAAAAGTCAGAGCCAGTCTGCAGATTTTGGGCAGTCGCAGTTGACGGATTTCACAGAAAATCACGTAGTGTATGATTTTGATTTTTGATTTTTTTTTGCTTCACAGACTGATTCCATCCAGTCAGACATGTTTGAACAATTTAATTTATCATGCATCTCATAGCAGCGAAGTGCATGTTTCTGTGCAAGTTTGTGTTCAGAACGACTTGAAAGCCTGGTCTGTTCCACACTTGTTTCGTGTATGATGCCCATTTTTTCCTCTGTAGCCATTTTAAAGGGGACCTATTATGCAAAATTCACTTTTGTAAGGTGTTTGGACATAAATGTGTGTTGGCAGTGTGTGTACACAACCACCCTACAGTGATAAAAATCCACTCCTTTTTTTTAAATCCCCATAAATCATAAGCAGTGTCTCCTAACGACCTGTTTTAAAGGATTAGTTCACTTTTAAAAAAACTTTTGCTGATAATTTACTCACCCCCATGTCATCCAAGATGTCCATGTCTTTCTTTCTTCAGTCGAAAAGAAATTAAGGTTTTTGATGAAAACATTCCAGGATTTTTCTCCATATAATGCACTTTGCTGGGCACCAAACGATTCAAGGTCCAAAAGACAGTTTCAGTGCAAACTGTTCAAAGGGCTTTAAACGATTCCAGACGATGAATAATGGTCTTATCAAGCGAAACGATCAGTCATTTCAAAAATATATAACAAAGTTTAAGTTTAATAATGTCAAATGCTCGCCTTGCTCTGTTCTGTGATGCACGTTCGTGACTCTCCTGTTCGAACTCGTTCATCAAAATGAACAAATCTTTTTTCGAGTCATTTGGTTCATTTAACAAACGAAATGAACGAATTGACTCGGAAAAAGATTCGTTCATTTTGATGAACGAGTTCGAACAGGAGAGTCACACAGAACAGAGCAAGGCGAGCATTTGAGCTTAAAAAAACTTAAACTTTGTTATTTCTTTTTTAAATGAGCGATCGTTTCGCTTGATAAGACCCTTATTCATCGTCTGGTGTCGTTTAAAGCCATTTGAACAGTTTGCAGTTTGCACTGAAACTGTCTTTTGGACCTTGAACCGTTTGGTGCCCAGCAAAGTGCATTATATGGAGAAAAATCCTGGAATGTTTTCATCAAAAACCTTAATTTATTTTCGACTGAAGAAAGAAAGACATGGACATCTTGGATGACATGGGGGTGAGTAAATTATCAGCAAAAGTTTTTTTAAAAGTGAACTAATCCTTTAAGAATGCAGCTTTAGTGACGTCACTAAAGCCACTGGCCCCGCCCATGAGGGTTGACAGACATTGCAGTTTTAACTTAGACCCGCCCTGATCGAGTTTACAGCCAGTTGTACACATCCGCCATTGCTGCACTAATGAGAATGTCTCCCAAGCGTTGAAGGTGTTGTGGCTGGATGTATTCATTCCCATTCATTCACATAGCTCTCTCTATTTACTCCTTAAAATCTGAGCCACCCGCTGAAGACGAGGTGGGTTCATTTTGTCTTTGAAAAATGCTCCCTCAACTCTACCGAAATTTGTTTATGTACCTACTCACTTCTTATACTGTGTTTACTCAGCTCTTACAGTGATTTTCTGGAGTAAAACTGACGCTTATTCTTTTGTGTGACATACAATAAACTTTATTAAACTCATCAGTATATTTTGTGTCATCATTCAGACATGGTCCTACAGCAGGCTTGTATTAATAGTGGCTACAATCAATGACACATAGGTTATAACCGTAATTAAACTAAACTATACCTGTTCCAACTCCATACATCATATATTCTCTGACTCTGTAGGCATTATTGTCCGAGTCGAAATGAACACCGTTACTGTGAGTTTCTGTTTTGATATTATCGTCTTTCCGTGAGTTGAGATTGTTCACTGAGCGTGAGCTGGTTAGGCTCCGCCCCCTGTGCTGTGAACCAGCAGCTCATTAGCATTTAAAGGAGACACACTAAAACGGTGCGTTTTTCTCAGCCGCAAAAAGTGACGATTTAAACATGCTGTAAAAAATTATCTGTGGGGTATTTTGAGCTAAAACTTCACATACACACTCAGACATCAGAGACTTATTTTACATCTTGTGAAAAGGGGCATAATAGGTCCCCTTTAAAAGTTGGCAAGTGTATGATGCCTAGTGTTTTAAAATCTATTCAGATTTTGAAAGTCATGAAGTATATTCCAGCCTTTAGTCTTCTACATATTGCCTGGTCACCTCAGCCAATTCTTAACATTAAAACATGAATGTTTAAACATACCAGTGCTGAACAGGTGCCCTCTATTCCAGTGGAGACATGACTTCTTGGCCTTCTCCATAATTGCTGTTTTCAGACCTTCATACCCTCAGGTCCTAAAAAAAAAATCGTACACACACACACACACACCTTTATTTACAATATTTTATGCGAGCGGTTTGCTTTCCTAATGATCCACAGTATCCGAACAGGCCATTAGAAGACCCATCTGATGCGCTGTACCCTGCCTCTCTCCAGCATTCCAAATCTGCCAATCGAATTAACATATTTCATAGTGGCGCTTCAGGCCTGGGGGCAAGATAATGAAATGAATTACCATTCTGGGTTTTTTTCTCTCTTGGGGAAAGAGACAGAAAATCTGTAACATCTGTGCGAGTGGCTTAAATCCTTCATGCCACTGACATCTAGACTAATCAGATGAATTAAGAGCTCTTCCAGGAGCAGATTCTTGCGCCGTTTTCATCTCTTTGTTCTCTTCCTTCCTCTAAAACCTGAGTCTCAATGTGGTATTTGTTTTGTGATGAATGCCAAAGCCGGCGTAACGATCGGCCTGCTATTTGAAAGTCTTTACCTATCCCTGCGCTCAGATTTGCCTCTTCTGTTTCCATAATTCACAAGCAAAATCGATACGGTGACACTGCTTCTCTCATTTTCTCTCGCAGGAGTTCCAGGAAGCACGGCGAATTCTCAATCGATCCTTTGATAGCTGCGTGGGACAGGCAGGGCACCTAGGCCAATCAGACAACAGCGCTCAGCCCCCCATGGTGATGAACAGCATCTATGAGCGATGTGCGGGTGAGTGATGGGCTCGCTGTGTCTTTATCTCACAGTCGGTCCGTGCGGGAATGAGACTTTCAAGGAGAAGGCCACCCAGATATCTAGTGCTAATATATTTCTGTCGTCTGCAGCGCATTTGCTTGCAGATTGCCTTTTCATCAGCTAGACTGATAAAGTTTGACTTTTCATTTTGACTTAAATGTGGTCAAAACAAATAGTACTTTTGATATCTGAACACAAAATAGCATGTACTGAATGAAAAGCAAACCATGGTCGTGCTAATGTGTGACTTGACAAAAGCATTACATTGATCAAAAGTTAGAGTAAAGATGTGTATTGTTACAAAAGATTTCTATTTGAAACAAATGCTGTTTTTTTTTCTACTTTTTTTTTTTTTTGTATTCAAAGAAAGAATCCTTTGAAAAATAACCTATCACAGTTTCCACAAACATATTAAGCAGAACTGCTGTTTTCAACATTGGTAATAATCAGAAATGATTGTTGAGCAGCAAATCAGCATATTAGAATGATTTCTGAAGAATAATGTGAGACTGAAGACTGGAGTAATGATGCTGAAACATCACAGGAATAAATTACATTTTAAATAAACAGAGAAATTCCAATAGGGTCCTCACACCATTGGTGTCACTTGTAGTGTTTAAAATGACTGATTTTAAATTGTAATGTTTTATTTTTAAAATATTGAGGCAAAACTGTTATATTATTGGTCATTTATCGATTATCAAACATAACATGAAAATAATTATCAGCTTATCAGTGTTTTATCAGCGGAGGCATAATAGTAATAATAGTATTTAATATCAGTTGTATTCTATGGATTGAGTTGCCTTATGAGGGCTGAAATATATTAAAGCCTTTTTAAATACTGTTTTTGTAACAGAGCAATTGTCTGAGTCTGTCCATGTGCCATACTGGAAATATGTTTGTACATGAATGTTGCGCTATCTTTCTTTGTCTTTCTTTCGGTCTCTTTCATGCCTGGAAAGACTCTTTTATCACAGCTGTATTAAGAACTGGAAGTTTAACTCGTCTGAGAATTGGGGCACATTTGCAATTCTTTTCATGTGAAATGCCTATGTGCATAGCCTGTCGTTTGGACCATCCCTTTAACCGAACATGAAAGAGTAACACTCCTCCTGCAGGATTTCAACACAACTAAATACAGGCAGATCGAGAGAGAGAGAGGGGGGCTCAAAAAGGAGCTGCCTGCTTTACTCGTCTGCCGCTTTTTCCAGAGGAACGCATTTCGCACACACTGCACTCATTGGGATTCCCAGTGAGCTCAATGCTAGGAAATAAAACAAATAGTCCAATATCAGCTGCATCAGCTTCATATCTCCCCCTCCCTGACACCTCACGCTTCTGCCCTTTGTTTATTTCCTTGATAGACCGATGCTCTCACGTTCATAAATATATGCAGTTCAAAAAATATTCCTTTCTGACAGGAAGTGGTTCTAGGTACGGTTGTCTCCTAAGCAAAGAAAATATGACAGCAAGGAGAGCGGGGGAAAAAAAGGAAACCAAGCTCTCGGCTCGTGCTGTGATTGTGTGTTTGCGTTGGTTTCTCTCGCCCCTGACCTTGAAATCATTAAGTTGATGCGCGCTTTATCTGGGCCATGTTTCCACAGGTGCAACAGTAATGCGGTCCGCTCGCATCATAGCGTAACAAACAATTTAAAATGCATAATGCCCTCATCAAGAGAGTGCTGATTTTTTTTATTATTTCTTTTTGGCATATCCATTTGGGCTGAGGGAAGTAATTTACTGGTAGTTGTTTGAGCTGTAAATGAAAGCTAATGATTTCGTACATATTTATGTGTATAGTGTTTGCTTTTGAAGTGGTGCTTCTCGAGAGAATCGCTCTAATTATAACCCTGGATAACAGTGGGCCGGGAGCTGAGGAGAGGGCGGAAGTGTGGGATGATATGAATATTACTGTTTCTGAACTCTGTCCATCTCTGGTGTGGGACGAGTTTTTCTCTGCCCTCTAACGCCTTCATGAGAAGATGAACTTTGAGTTTATGGGAGTTTAAATTAGGAATATTTTTGTTTATTTGCTTTATCTCTGCCCTTTTTTTTGTTATCCTTAGCAAAAAGCACTGTGCCTCTACTTGCAGTGATGTATCAGATGATAATAATACTATGTATTTTATGCATGGTACCGAATGATTGCTATATCCATATATACATTCAGAGGAAAACAGAGAGAAAACTAGAAGTAAGAGGTAGAAAGACAATATGTTGCGTGTCTGATTGGAATGTATGGGCAGTTAAATGTGTTCGCGCATATGCACAGATCCAAAAATAACTCAAATAATTGTTTGAAAGGTTCACTTATCTCTAGTTCCTTGCATGCCTTCTGTTGAAAACTAGCTATTTGTGGTGACATCTGTCAAAGTCTTGGATCTCACTCGGCGGCCATCTTGACTACTCCCCTCATCGGTTATTTCTAGCCATGCTAGACCAGTTCCTATCTACTTGAATAGGAAAAAAAAATTTGGTAACATCCCTAACAGCACATGTACATCGTGGAGACATCTCTTTTTTTTTTTTTTTGTTAAATAGAAATTTAGAAAATGTCTTTTAAGATGTTTCTGATTTAGAATGCATGTAAAACTGTTTTTTAGAGATACGTACAGTATCTGATGTTTGGACACAATTGATGTTTTCCAGGTGAAGCGATCTTTAAAAGTATATCTGGGATATGTCAAATCCCCAACAAAATTGAGGTTTTTGCTGTAGCTCAAATCAATCATGCAAACCCCCCCCCCCCCCCCCCCCAAAAAAAAACAGTATCTTTCATTAGTATTAGGTTCAGTTAATGCACATGTTTTGTAGAGTAATTTAAGACTACAGTAATTAGAGAAATTTGATGACTTTTCCAAGGCAATTGTCTTTTAACTAAAAACTAATCTAAAAGATGTGACTTCAATTACCACATCTGCTGTACTGAGAATTTACATTTTTTTAACACAAACAATTTTTATAACAGTAAATGCCTCATGTTCTCATAGTAATACTCATGCAGCAAAGCCTCCTCTGTTCCGCTTACTGTCATTATGAATATTGCACGCAGATGTGAAATATTAAATCTGTCCAGTGTCTCTGGTAATAGATTCATACACATCCTTCTCAGAGAGAAACATGGCTTTTATTTCAGTTAATGTTCTACATAAGAAGGTGTCTTGCTATTGCAGGCTAGAGGTCTGGTAGCCCACACCGTTTAGGATTAATAACCCTGTTTTAGCTGGAAGAGCCATTGATCCATCATCTTCTGAAGGAACAACTTATTTCATTTCGGCTACGCCACACTTTAGTAGATAAATAATCGTGAGTGTGTATGGCTGCAAATGTGTGTTCGTGTGCAATACACATCCATTTTTTTCCATTCACTCCAACATCAGTTCATCTCTCAAGTGTGTGCATGTTCATGTGTGTGTGCACGCATGCATCTGTGCACATGATGTATTATGGCAGTTGTGCAGCACACAAACAGATGAGATATATAATACTAATAAGCAGTCATCCCAGTGCAGTCTGATGAGTAATGATGAAGTTCTGCTGGGTGGGGCGCTCTGATCTATGTGATTGTCAGGACCGATATCCAGCTCCACTTCGCCAAAACACAGACACTCCATCAAGAAGACAGAGAACAACGTGTTATCCATATATCCCAGCAACCTACAGGAAGAAGTTAAAAATCTTACATTTTTGTGTTATTGAACTATTGAATATTATTTATCTTTTTTTTTTTTCTAAATCAAATTGTTTAAAAACTTCATATATGTTTTTTTCACAGCCAGCATACACTCTGTATAGCTGCCATATGCAGTTGACTGGGAAATTATGTAGGAAATGATTAGGTCAGTCTATCTCTGGAACTGTTCATGACTGTGTTCGCACTGTAGATTGTCTATAAAATGCGTTTGCTAAGTGTCTGGGAATCTGAGGCATTTGTTTTGAATTCTACATCATTGGCTCTCAGACAAAGACCTCCAGCCTTTGTTTTGGTTCTGCACTATTTGGCCTAACAGACATTAATAAGGTCTTTGTGTCTTTGTCATGGCGGGCTTTAGATACTGTAGTTGAAAACAACATCAACTAGATAATGAGAATTCTGGGTAATTCTCATAAACTGTCCTTGAGTTATACACACACACATACTCAGAAACAGCTCATTGTCTTTTTCTGCAGCAGGTGGTTTTAGAGAGCCAGGCAACAGTAGTGCGTCGTCTGTTTAGGCAAATGAGACATGAACCGAGTGCACAATCACTGCATCATCCTGCTAACTGCACTTCCTGTTTCATTCATCTCCTCTACACATTCTGTTGTGCTGTTTGTTGCAGCTTAAAATGATGAACTCGCTTCTTTCATTAGTGGATTTAATTTTCAGTTTAGTAGGTTTTATTAGCATTAAATAAATTTACTTACATATAGTGAAAATAGGGGTATAAGCATTTTGCACTTTTTTATGTACAATACCGTTCAAAGTTTTGTGATACTTTTTTGAAAGAAAATTAATTAACAATTGAAAAAGTAATACTTTTATTCAGCAATAAATTGAACAAAAGTGACAAAAGGAATGTATAATGTTTCAAAAGGTTTCTTTTCCAAATAAATGTTGTTCTTTTCTATTTTCTAATGCTGTTCTTTTCGATGTTTTTATTCATCAAAGAATCATGATAACAACCATTATTAATAATTGTAATTAATTATAATAATAATATAATTTATTTCTGTGATGCAAAGCTGATTTTTTTTAAGGATCTTGTGACCCTGAAGACTGGTGTAATAGATGATGAAAATTCAGCTTTGGACTACAGAAATACATTATATAATTTAAAGTGCATTAAATTGGAAAACCATTATTTTGAATTATAATAATATTTCATAGTATTACTGTTTTTCTGTATTTTTGATCAAATAAATGCAGGCTTGATGAGCATAAGAGACTTCTTCTTTCCAAAAATAGTAATGTTTCCGAACTTTTGACCGGAACTGTATACAGTGCATCCGGAAAGTATTCACTGCGCTTCACTTTTTCCACATTTTGTTGTTACAGCCGTATTCCAAAATGGATTAAATTCATTATATTCCTCAAAATTCTACAAACAATTTCCCATAATGACAACGTGAAAGAAGTTTGTTTGAAATCTTAGCAAATTTATTAAAAATAAAAAACGAAAAAAATCACATGTACATAAGTATTCACTGCCTTTGCTCAATACTTTGTTGAAGCACCTTTGGTCTTTTTGAGTATGATGCTACAAGCTTGGCACACCTATTTTGGGGCAGTTTCTCCCATTCTTCTTTGCCGAACCTCTCAAGCTCCATCAGGTTTGGATGGGTGCACATCGTCGGTGCACAGCCATTTTCAGATCTCTCCAGAGATGTTCAATCCGGTTCAAGTCTGGGCTCTGGCTGGGCCACTCAAGGACATTCACAGAGTTGTTCCTTAGCCGCTCCTTTGTTATCATGGCTTTGTGCTTAAGGTCGTTGTCCTGTTGGAAGATGAACTGTCGCCCCAGTCTGAGGTCCAGAGCGCTCTGAAGCAGGTTTTCACCAAGGATGTCTCTGTACATTGCTGCATTCATCTTCCCTTCGATCCTGACTAGTCTCCCAGTTCCTGCCGCTGATAAACATCCCCACAGCATGATGCTGCCACTACCATGCTTCACTGTAGGGATGGTATTGGCCAGGTGATGAGTGGTGCCTGGTTTCCTCCAGACATGGCGCTTGCCATTCAGGCCAAAGAGTTCAATCTTTGTTTCTTCAGTCCTTCAGGTGCCTTTTGGCAAACTCCAGGCGGGCTTTCATGTGCCTTTTACTCTGAGGAGTGGCTTCCATCTGGCCACTCTACCATACAGGCCTGATTCTGCAGAGATGGTTGTTCTTCTGGAAGGTTTTCCTCTCTCCACAGAGAAACGCTGGAGCTCTGTCAAAGTGACCATTGGGTTCTTGGTCACCTCCCTCAAGTCAAGTCAAATATATTTATATAGCGCTTTTCACAATACAGATTGTATCAAAGCTGCTTCACAGTATCAATCAAAACAACTTAACAGTGTTTGTTTATTACTGGAAAAAGACATCCAAGTTTGGTAGAGCTGATCAGTGGTATGATGGGTCATTTAATTTGAATATCCCCAACTGAGCAAGCCAAAGGCAACAGTGGCAAGGAACCGAAAAACTCCATCAAGTGACCCGATGGTGTCCTAAAACTCCATCAGATGACCCAATGGAGAAAAAAAAACCTTTGGAGAACCCAGGCTCAGTCGGGGCCAGTTCTCCTCTGGCGTTTATGAAGGAGAGGCCGAATTTACAGTAACTGTAAGTTAAAAAATGTATATGAATGCCTGGCTAAATAGATGCATCTTCAGTCTAGTTTTAAACTGGGAGAACGAGTCTGAGCAACGAACAATATCAGGAAGGCTATTCCAGAGCTTCGGAGCTAAATGTGAAAATGCTCTCCCTCCTTTGGTGGATCTGGATATCCTAGGAATGACCAGAAGCCTCGAATTTAGTGATCTTAAAGAGCGCGATGGATTATAGGGCGATAGAAGATCCGTTAAATAGACTGGAGCTAAACCATTTAGAGCTTTATAAGTCAAAAGCAATACCTTGTAATTAATACGGAACTTTATAGGTAACCAATGAAGTGATGATAGAATCTGTGTTATATGATCATATTTTCTTGATCTAGTAAGAACTCTAGCGGCTGCATTTTGGACTAACTGTAGCTTGTTTATTGAAGATGCAGGACAACCAGCTAATAAAGCATTACAGTAATCTAGTCTCGAGGTCATGAATGCATGAACTAACTTTTCTGCATCAGAGACTGATAGCATATTACGTAGCTTAGCAACCTCCCTAAGGCCCTTCTCCCCCGATCGCTCAGTTTGGCTGGGCGGCCAGCTCTAGGAAGAGTCCTGGACTCACCTGGAAAAGTGAAGCGCTGTGAATACTTTCCGGATGCACTGTACATACTGTAAAATGGATCATTGTAGAATAAATCACAAAAAAAAATACTTTTTGAAATAAATAAGCTAGTAAATAACAGTAATAGTAGCATTAAACAAGACTAATTAAAAAGGATAAAGATGAAAAATAGGAATAAATGTGCCAATAATAGTAATTATATACATATGTATAGTTATAGAGCCACAGTCTCTGTCAGGCACACACACATTCTTACAAGCTTAACCAAGCTTAGAGAAAAATCAAGTCAATCCGAAGCCCCAGTCCCATTATCATAGGAGTGTAAGATCATTAAAGGTGAGTGGAGATTGCAGTGTGTTGGAGCTGATAATGGTCTCCATCTCTGTCTGTCTGTGTCAGCGCTGGAGCCAGACTGTCACCTCTCTCCACCGCTGGCCTGACCCCAGCAGACCCCTCTTAAATGAGCCTGCATAATATTTCCACAGAGCTCTAATGATTGCTTTTCTCTCTCTGTGGTTTGCTCATTCTCTCACAGTTTCAAATGGGGGATACAGTCACATGGAGGAGGGGGATGATGAAGGCTTCGCCGCTAATCCTCATAGACAGGACAGCCTGAAGCTCCAGCAGAGGTAACATGGATTTGCCTTGGACCAAATTTGACAAACACGTCTCTTTTTCCTTGTAGGGATTGTCGATTAGTCGATTCATTTTGACACCACTTGGTCATGTGGCTTGAGTTTTTGAAAAAAATACATGGCAAAAGCAGGAGGATACTTCCTCTGTCAACAAACGGTTTCCCAGTATAGCTATGCAAACATTCGTTTTGAATTATACGCCAAATACTGTTTGTGGCGTGAGATGCTCTGAGTTCATTTTTAGTGTTCACAATCCATAATTCTTTCAAACCATCCTAAAACTAATCAAGTGTCAACTTTATGAGTGAGGCATGATTTTTTTTTTTGTTGTTGTTTATGACAGTGCAAGAATAATAAATGGAATGGTGATTGATTTACATATGGTAAACACTGACCCACTACCTACTTTTCTGTCTGACTAGTAAAAATGAGTAGTCGCGCAATCCCTATTCCTTGTTATAAGCAGTAAACTCCATACTGTTGAACAGAGATACTGAAGAAATGCGTGTGTGTGTGTGTTCCAGTCTGAGTTCAGGTCTTCATTCAGCTGACACTTCTTTGACTGACGGAGTTCAGCATAATCATGTGAAGTCTTCTAAGAGCATGGATCTGGGTAAGACATTCAAGTTATTATGCAATTTGTCCATATTTTTTTTTTCTGTCTGTATTCTCTCCATAATTTCCTGCCATTTCTATACTGCCCTATCAATATAAATGACAAAAAGGTTGTTGTTTTTTTTGTTGAAAAACTCTGAATACACTCACCAAAAAACTCTTAAACAAAAATCTTAAAATTAAGGTAAGCAATATGTTAATAAATAAGTTAACACGTTTATTTAGTATACAGTGTTCACTACCATTAAAAATTTTGAGGTCAGTAATTTATTTTTGAAAGAAATTAAAAAAAATTATTCGGCAAGGCTCAGCTTTGTCATCACAGGAATAAAATACATTTTCAAATGTATTCAAATAGAAAATAGTTATTGTAATATTTCACAAAATTACTATTTTTACTGTTTTTTTTTAATAAATGCAGTTACCCCAAACTTTTGAACTGTTCTGTTCATGTCAAAGAGATCTTTTAGCTTTTCTGTTTTTGCTGATAATTAATTGTTCAACTTAAACCTGTTTCTTATAAACAGGGATGGCCCGATACCGATACTGGCATCGGGGATCGGGTCGATACTGTCCTAATATACTCGTACTCGTACTCATAAAAATTCGCCGATACCACGCACCGATACCACGTACATTTTGCAAAACGAAACTGGCCGCCGCGAGTGCTTTGTTGAGGTGAACTGAGGCATAGGAAAGTATAATGTCGGCGGTTTGGGCTCATTTCAAGATAAGGGGTGATGACAACAGCAATGCAGACTGTGAGTTATGTTCAGCTAAGGTGTCGAGAGGAGGGAAAGAAAGTACATCGTTTAACACCAGCAATCTAATTAAACATCTGAAGACGCATCATAGATCTGATGGCCGAGCGCGCGCGCGGGCGGTAATGCACTCACTCTGTGTGTGCGGGTTACGGGAGAATAAAACGATTCGCGGGACTCCCGCAAACTAGAAATATCTATGAATAAAACATAAAAACTAAAAGATTTTTATTCATCTCTTGCAGAAAAGCAACAAGAACAACTACAACAAAATAGAAACGATTTACAGGCCAGAGTTTCTATTCATAACATGGTTACAGCGTTGAGCGATGTAGCCAATCACAGACATATGTGTTGATTTCTGGAACGCAATGGCCAATCAGAAGCATTTAAGATAGACTCCCCTCACCGCTCAAATCGGACTTTTTTGTTCAGTGCTGAATTCTGTATGCTGGCAAATCCTCGAATTATAACAAACAAAGCGTGGATATTATGAAAGATTGATTGTGCAGTCAGCTTTATTGATAATAACAGAGATGTGTGAGATCGCGATGAACTGTCAGCTTTTAGGATTTATTAAGGGAGCGCACTTTGCGCGCATTCAGTCATGCCAGACCATGCACGCAGTAGCCTGCTTGCTTTTATGTTAAATTAACAGTGGTTTGTGTGTTAATACATTTATTATTTTACTAATTTTTATTTATTTTTTAGACTTGTTAAAACAAGCAGAGAAGAAAATAAAAACAGTCTTCTAACCTGTGTTCTAAAATAGTCGTCTTCTTTTCTGGGAGCCTATTACTTTTGCGGTAGAAATATCGGTATCGGTACTCGGTATCGGCAAGTACACAAATGTAAATACTCGTACTCGTATCGGTTTGAAAAAAAATGGTATCGGGCCATCCCTACTTATAAAGGTACCAGCCCCTGCCGAATGTAATTTACTCTAAAGCTAATCTCGACTTCCATTGACGCTTGGCGAGTGCAAATTTTGGACCCTGTGTGATGAGTGTGCTTTATGGGTGGTGTGTGTGTTTGATGTCTTACGGTCCATTCACACCAAGAACGAGAACTATAAAGATAACTATAACGATAACTTTATTAGCATCCACACCAGCAGACAATACAGTTCTGTTTATTCTATGCAGTGTTGCCAAGTCCTCAGTTTTTTCAGGGAATTGTGCTACTTTTACACTGTTGCCGTGGGTTGTTTCTTTAGTCCACGGGTTGAAGCGATTGGGATGGTTTTGGCCGTGACGGGACTGGTTTTGTTATGCAAGCCTGATTCTAAGCACGCACTGAAGTTTTGTCGTCTGCCACTTTAAATGCTTGAGCTCTTAAAGCAGGATGGATTCTGATTGGCTGTCAGTGTTTTTATGGTTCATCATTCTGAAAGTGTTTCCAACAATATCGTTTCACTGTGCCGTCATCGTTATAGTTGTGGTGTGGACTCTGCTATTCTTTTATATTTAGAAAGATGTTTAGAACTATATATTGTTATCATTATAGTTATCATCCTTGGTGTTAACGGGCCTTTACTCTGAGTGGGCCGTCTTTTGGTCCTCTCCCTCGGGCCTCCAGTTCCTCATAGACCGGAGCTGCTCCCTCTCTGCAAGCCTGAATAAATTACATTTTAAAACATATTCAAATAGATTGCAGTCATTTTAAATTTTAACAATATTTCACAATATTACTTGTTTTTTACATATTTTTTTGTCAAATAAATGAAGCCTTGGAGAGTATATGAGACGTCTTTGAAAGAAATGACAAGGTCTTACTAACCCCAAATTTTCGAATGGTATATTCTATATTTTTGACACAAATTTAATTCCATAATGTACCTTTAAGTGGATTCCATATATATAAAACCGTATATATTCAAAATGTATCGTATTAAGAGGAGGGGATACCATCCATGTGCTACCAATCTCTTCAATGTGAAATGTGGACTGACTTGTCTAAGTGCATGCTGGGGGATGAATCAATGTTCCTCCTCACTGTAACACAATTAATCTCTCGTGTTCCAACATTACCTTGAAAATCTAATCAGCGGCGCTCTATATCTGATACATCAGCCACAGCTACAGACCACATATGTGTCACATGATGGCTTTAAAAAAAAAAAAACAATAGTGAAAGTATTGAAGAGCTCAATATGATGAGGGCGGACGTGGGCTGCTCTCAGGTGACCGTGGCAACTGTAGCTATGGAGGGCAGCACAATGGCCAGCCCGAGCGAGACCCGCGGTCCAATTCAACTATGAATAAAAAGCCCACTGTAATTTGGTTCCAATTGCTGGATATGAAATTGGATCGTCTTTGATACGAGCGCTAGGGTATTAATAATACATAACCAATAAAGAGAGCCCCCTTTAGTTCATGAATAATATAAAGTTTGAATAGTTTTTTTTAATTGAAATTTTTTGGTGTACGCTCATATTCACCTGAGCGTAGGCACATTAAAAGGAAAAAAAATGGAGTGAATTATGCCACCGGCTTTCTCTCTGGATTCCTTGGGAAGCAGGAATAGCCGTGAGGATATAAACCTGTAGGCTAGATTTAGGTTTACAGCTGCGGTAATGGCTTTGTTTTGATTACGGTGCATGCGCTGATATGACTGCTTTAGTGGCGATTTGTTTTCCTGACCGGTTGGCAGGCCAGTAACTTCATTAATGAAGAGTGTAGAAAGTACACCAGTGTTCTTTTGTAAGTGTTGATGGGGGCTATAAAGTAAATTGTCCCGGTTTACATCGTCCATTGAAGATTCAATAACTGTTTTGGAGTGGCTAAGCGGTTGGATGATTTTTACGAAACTTACAAAGAACAAATCAATGTAGAAAAAAAAAAACGAATCCTTTGTGGTTGTGTGTGTGTGTGTGTGTGTGTGTGTGTACATAAATTTGTCCATGAAAATTATCAATTTAATTTTGAATAAGAAAATGTTTAATACTCTATTTCCTTAATTATAATACTAAAATATGTGTACTAAAACAATGTGAATGTAATAAGATTTTTTTTTTTTCTGGACAATTATGACCCAGGCATGCTTTTTGGGAAACGTGTGTGCATCACACGTGCATTTTTTGCGATGTGTGACCATAACTTCTTGTGGGTGACCATAACTTTGATTCAAACACCAGTTTGTAAATTTTCTCAACCCTTATTCTTCTCTCTATTCTGCCTAGAATAATGTTGGCTAAAAAGATGAGAGACTAGCTTTATGACACCCATACCTGCAGCAGATATTCAGACGGGGCTCTGCGGTGCTCAGCAGAGCAGTTTAATGGAGTCCATTGGTTTGTGTCTTAGCAAGGGGATTTTTTTTTTTTTTTTTTTTTTTTTTGCAAAGAGCCGCAGGGGAGAACAATGACAGACTTCTCCCACCTTTCCTCCCTCAGGATGGAGGCAGGGAAGAAAAGGAATAATGAGAGCGAGAGAGGAGATTATAGAGGTGCTGGAGGTGCAGATGAGAAGAGAGAGAGACGTTGTGAGAGAGGAAAGAGGGTCCACTGGATGACTGCCTCTGAGGAATGGAGGATCACTAAAACAGAAATGAGACGGCCGCTTTTGCAAGTCATTTTCTGTACTGGCTTGATGGGTGCGACGGCTCTAAAAATTGAACGCTCACCATGAGAATTGAACAGTGCAGCACATTTCCACAGATTAGCTAAGGATGACCCTATTAGCTCGGCTTTTTCCCATAACACACTGAATGAGAAATATTTCACACTCGTAAAATGCTGGATGCAGCAGAATTTCAATTACACTTCATCAGTTTTCCATATTTGGTTCTCGCAAAGTAATGTTTCGATGCCGGCAGTCGACTATGCCAACAATTGATTGGCTTTCATTATCAGAATGGTGTAAGTATGTGCGTTTTTTCTCCAATAGACACACGGCAAAATACTTTCCTCATTCAAAACAGCCCTTTTAGCTGGTTTCTATGTGACCTCATGGAGGAACAATGGATGTAGAGCCATTTGTTATCTCTGACCTAATCTCGACACTCATCTGGAACTACAGTATAGGTGTCCATTACGGTGGTCATTGGCCATGGCTGACTTTGTCACCACCACCTTATAAAATTAAGCATTTCTAAATAGGGCTGGGTAAAGAATTTGAGTTTTTTTCATGTATACTTTGCTTTGGTGGATGTTTGCGCTTTTTTGTGAAAAATAATTTGCATAGTTCCCGCCTTGCAGTAAATCTTCATCGAAACAAATTGAATCAAGAACTTATGAGTCTGAATCAAATCAGGAACCCACTGCTGATTACCAACCCGATTACATAAATGCTTATATATTTGATAATTCAATAGACAAAAACACGAAGAAATAGCTCAGTCTGAATAACCGCTGCTGTGAGTAAATTAGGTACTAGCATAACAGCGTTTCTCGCATAAACCTAATACCAGCCTCTCCAGAGAAAATGCTTCATCCCCATGTTCGCGTACAATTGCACTTCAAGATGAATACTTCCACTCAAAGTCCTTTATTCCCGGCTTCTTTTGATCAGAAACTGTCCTAAATGCTTGTCTTTCATCTTCGTGTGGAGGTCCAAGGCCATAGTGTGTTATTCTCCTGAGCTTTTGTTCGCACCAGCCGAGTAGGAATACATTTTGCTCGATCAGTGAATGTCTTTCCTGAGAAGCATTATTCATTGACCTATTTTGTATTGTTTTACCCCTCTCTCTGGAATCAGAATTAGATTTGTAAAGCTGGAAAACACTATTATCCTCATTCTGTTTTAGGAATGAGCCGAACAGAAAAACAGGAAATAATTGTTTATAAGGGATGGACATTGTACAATGCACTTCAGACGGTACAGTTCTCAATCATAATTCAGGTGTTTCGCTTGTTTTATACACTTTGGCTAGACAACAGGCATTATTTTCACCTTCATACTTTATCAGTGGCATTTGCTGCATTTTGTTGATGGCTCAGGTTTCTGTTTCTGCTGTTGTGCTCGGTAGCTCCACCCACTGAAATCCTATTGGTCTAAAATCACACTTAACATATGTCGTCCCACACCATTTGTGCTACGAACATGAATGATAGTTCACCCAAAAATGAAAATTATGTCATCATTTACTCACCCTCATGACAATTTTCAAATTATTTTGTTATGTTCCGCAGAAGAAACAGTCATACAGGTTTGGAACAACATGAAGGTGAGTAAATGAAGGGTTCAGACTTACTATTGTGACCTGGTTGATGACATATTGGTATAACCAATCCTTTGACCCTAGTGACTATTATCATATGGTGTATAAAGACCAGAATATCAGGATCTTTTGACTTGGGTAAGTCAGTTTTTTTTTTTTTTTTTTTTTTTTTCACTAGGCATTTATTGTAAATGTATCCGAATGCTTCTGAAACAATATCCTTTCCAAACAATATCTCTCTCGGAGAGAGAGAAACATTTCAGTCAAAAATTGTATTTGTGTGAAAATTTTTGTGGGACGTGACATTGGTTTCTGTAAGCTGATTGGCTAAAGCTCCCTGCACATCATTGTAGTCGGGACAAAAGATAAGCCAATTTTTCCACACAATAGCACATTGTTTCAAACCCAGAATCGCTGGTGCCAGCAAACACACACAACATCTTCAAGTTATAGTTGCTGCTGAGTCAATAAGCTTTCACACAATTTGAAACAGAAAATTAAGAAATAATTATCCCTCCACCCTTTTTCTGATTGATTTGCCACAATTTGCTTTTGTTCTTCTTAAATGTCTAAATCCTTTCCTTTCACTGAGACCCCGATGCATTCAAATCTCTGAGCGCATCTAGTATGTGAAGTTTGTGTTTGTTTGTCTGTTTGTTTGTGTATCTACACAAGCAGTTTTTAAGCTAGCTTTTTTAAGCTTGTGCAATCTGTCATCACATGACGGATCACAGCCCTCTGAGAGCCGTATTTGGCCTTCTATCTCTCGTCTGCTGGGAAAAATTGACCTCATGAAAAATGAATAGGATTATTTAAAAGAGATTGCAATGTAATGAAAACCTATTACTGTGTGCTAGGCCTCTGCTAGCTCGTCGGCGTTTGCCTCTCTCCCTTCAAATCCTTTTTCTGTGGATTACCCGTGCCTCTGCCGCTATCGCTTGCCTCAATTTAACATCATATCATATTTGTCACAGGGCCCAAACCCCTATAGCCCAGCTCTCAATAATTACTGTAAATCTCTGCCAATTTCCTGCCCCAGTATTTGTATTCGGACGCGTACACAAGTCGCTTCTGGGGTAGCAGGGTTGGAACAGAAACTAGTCGGCTAATGTAAACCATACATGCTCTCCAAAGCCATCGTGTCTCTTTCTCTCCCTCTTTTAGTGATTTGGATGGATTTTTAGGGTGTTGGAGTTTCATTTATGATTTATTTTCAATATAATGTTAGTTTGAATGTGTGCTGAATGTGTGAAGTTTATGTTAGCTCTAAAGTTGGCCGCATGCAGTGGCTGTGCGAACAGTGCTGATGCTAGATTGACTGCACCGATATCTGTCTTGGCTTTAAATGGGGATTGTGGTTAGAACTTGAGAGCAAAAGTTATTAGCGACAGACTCTCTCTCTCTCTCTCTCTCTCTCTCTCTCTCTCTCTCTCTCTCTCTCTCTCTCTCTCTCTCTCTCTCTCTCTCTCTCTCTCTCTCTCTCTCTCTCTCTCTCTCTCTCTCTCTCTCTCGCCTGTGGTAATACTTGAAATGAATAGCATGCCCTGTGGTTGTGTGGTTTTACTTTGTTTACAAGTGTATGGAAATAAAGAGGGTGCAGTGCTTTTTTTCTCCTGATGTAAGCAATCTTCACTCCCGCCAGGTGTGTGGAAAGAGCATATGCTGCCCACACGCATGTACACGTATGCATGAACCCCACACACACATACACATATTCAACCCTTGTATCTGAGATATACCCCAGCTGTAGCAGTAGAAGCAGACACATCAGTAGAGAATATTTTATTTATAATTGTTTTGTTTTGCCCACAGTGGAATCACGAAGACATTTCAAAAACATCATCTCGTCTTAAATGTTATAAATCATGTTCCATAAAAAAGGAACTGCTCTTAATAAGATCTGTTCCTAACCCTAATTGCCAGTAGCGATTAAAATGTAACCTGAGTGAGGAGCCCTACTTAATCCCAGAGTGCATCTGTCTCCCCAAATGGTAGATGAAAGCAGCATGTATGCTTTGTCAGAAGTCAGGTAATGAATGCACTCTCACTTGCTTTGAATCAGAGTGGACTTACACACTCATGCCCACAGCTGTGTCCGGTCTGACTCCAGTGCCCTGCTGATAGACTTGTTCCCTTTGTGCTTGTGTCTGATGGATTGGCCCCTGAGGGCCACATGTAGACCCCCGTTGAGAGCATGCAGGCCGTGTGGGTCTGGAGAGTAGAGAGAGTGATGTGCATAGGGGGAGACCGAAGGGTTTCATACATAACATCTTGATTCTTTCACTCCACCATGTGTACTGCCTGAAGCTCCGTTTGAATGGTGGTAAAACATCACACACACTGCCTCTCCTTTAAAGAAAATCCATTACAATCTTTGTCCAGGAGGTCTCGCTGACATAGTGAAACTTATTGTAAACCAGTGAACATTTAGTTTATTATAGTGTTTTTTTTTAATGAGACTATGAAGGTCTCAAAACCAAGTGAACCTTTCTAGGCTGCATTTCCGGGTCTCATAGTGCTATTTAGGAGTGAGTGGTATGCCCAACATGCTTTCTAGGTTGGCAGCTCACTAGATGGAGAGAGTCCAGTAAGTGGACCATACATGTGTGTGTGTGTGGCCCATGAGACGATGGAACATGTTTCCACCAGATGCTCACTACCTCCTGATGTCTACTCCCTTCATCCCTCACTGCTCCTTTCCACACCCTCCCACTCTTCCTCCATTGTGTGACCTTCACCTCTGGGCTGAGCACTGTTACAGTGAAATGAGTGAGATGATATATTGAGCCTAGGGACTTTCCGCTCTCATCTTTCTTTCTCACTCTATCCTCATTCAGACTGTATTTTGGGTGAGCATCATTCTCATATGAGTCTCCCACAGAGAACACATGTGACGTCTGACCTGTTAAGAGGCTATAAGCTGTGTTTCATTCAAAGTCGGATGTGGGGCATTCCTATTTGATATCTTCAGCTTCCGACTGTAAAATGTTCCACCGTCTGAAGTGTGCAGGATGATATAAAACAGGAGAGCAATGCTAGCATTTGTTTTCCAGGTGTGTACAAGTTTCCATGAAGAAGACTATTTGTGTTTTTGCACCCATTTTTACTGTTTTTTTTTACTGTGTTTTTGCTCCCATTGCTGATGTTCATGAATTCGAACTTTTTAAGAATTATGAAGCCTAAATACAATCGTCAGAAGTAAATAATAATTTTAAAAAACTGCATAACGATCACAGAACTTCAACATCACTACCACTAAACTTCAGACAAGTCTTTCGGCCTTTATTTAAAATTTGAAAGTTGGAAAGTTTGAGTTAGAGTAATTTGATAACTAGATAAATAGATAACTAACTTGTAAGACTGTAAGCAGTTTATGTAAAACGGTCACTGGCTATAAAAGCGGACTAGGGAGTAGATGAGTTTACCTGTTTGCTGTGATAATGTTTAATGTCCCAGACAACCTCTCTATTTAGCCACTTGTTAGCAACCAACTTTTTCAAGACACATAAAAACTTAAAGAAAATCAAGAGTGGGGTATTACTGATGTATTTTATATTGTAGAATAAAACATGAAAATATATATATATATGTGCTGTTTACATTACGTTAGCATTAGATTATGGGAAAAGTTTTGAATAGAGTACATGTACAATACAGTACATGCTCTT